TACAATGTTTTATCTTAACACTGTCTGAAAGAATTGAAAACCCTAATTTAAATATTTCATGTTATTTGATAACAATGATATAGTTTAAACCTCCCCAGAAGTCTCGACGAAAGTTCAGTTATTAGGAAGTTATCTATCTTAGCTCAGGGACTAGCATGTTGTAATTGTATTAAGAATTTTATATCTCTCTGATCAGGGGTTCCCAAGCTTGGTAGAGAAATTGGTCGAGGACAGTATGGGGTTGTCTATGCTTGTGATTCGTGGTGTGGCTTTACACCATGTGCCCTGAAGTCTGTAGTGCCTCCTGATGAAAGACACTGGAACGATTTGGCCATGGAGTTTTACTATACAAGGTATGACTATGATTGGTTAAAAATATTTGCCAAATTGTTTAACCCTTGTTTTGAATCGTATCATACTGAAAATCATCATCAGATAATTCAAGTTCCAAACCGGAATCATCATCATGTTTATTTGTCTCTTCAAGTGTGAACACACCCAAGTAATACCAGAATCGTCATCATGTTTATTTGTCTCTTCAAGTGTGAACACACTCAAGTAATATGAGAATCATCATCATGTTTATTTGTTATTACTTGAGTGTGTTCACACTTGAAGAGCCAGAATCATCATCATGTTTATTTGTCTCCTCAAGTGTGAACACACTCAAGTAATACCTGAATCATCATCATGTTTATTTGTCTCTTCAAGTGTGAACACACTCAAGTAATACCAGAATCATCATCATGTTTATTTGTCTCTTCAAGTGTGAACACACTCAAGTAATATTATGCCACTTTGGGTCCATTTTTTCATAAAAAATCAAACAATTTTCAACTGCAAATATTACCAATGTTTTGAATAGCAATATATCTCATGTTGAATACAAATCAATGGCTGAGATTGTCATCTGTGCAAATTAGGCTTTGTCTATTGATTTTGTGTGCTTAATTCACATTTCTAGCAGGGAATTCAAACTGCATACGGTGACAAACATGCCTAAATGGCTAAACATTAGTTTTCTACTCTCTTATATATACTGAAGTTCAAATGTTAACAACTACTTTGTGTCTGCAGAATTTTGGCTCTGACTTTTGTGTATTCTTCATATAGGAGCATAGCAGAACATGAACGTGTTGTTCAGATTCGAGGATCTGTGATTGATTACTCCTACGGTGGTGGAAACACTCCTGCTGTCCTCTTCATCATGGAAAGGTTACAACGAGATCTTTACTCTGCTATCAAAGCTGGGCTAGACTTTACCACAAGACTTCAGGTAAAAAAACCACACAAAATTCAATTAGTAAACCATTAAAGCTTTATGTTACTGTAAAACAACTAATGACAAATCAACTAACTCCTTTATTTATACATTGTTGAACAGTTCGTTCATATCAAACTCTCACTAACACTACTTTGTTCTAGTGATATACTGGTTTTATATTACAGTTAGTTAACAGGTAACTGTATAACTTTGTTCTAGTGATATACTGGTTTTATATTACAGTTAGTTAACAGGTAACTGTATAACCTTGTTCTAGTGATATACTGGTTTTATATTACAGTTAGTTAACAGGTAATTGAATCACTTTGTTCTAGTGATATACT